CAAAGTTTTCTGGAGAACTATTTCCCCCACAACCCACACACATGTAAAACCGACTTACATAAAAAGGTATCAAAAAATTCCTTTTGTGATATGAAGATTGGTGATTTTATTCAACGGTAATGTTGATGAACCATAATAGGGACTCTGTTGGGTAGCACTATTTCTCTTGTTACCACTCAAGACCCAGTTTGATTAAATTCAGTTGAACAGATTCCCAAAAATAGGTCCGGTAAAGAAAACCTTTCTTCAGAATGTGGCAGAATTCATACACTTTTCAGTCAATTGTTTGAGATCATGGACCTCAAGCCCCTTTGTTTGCTGAAATCTTAAAAGATCAAAACCTCAAATTGAATTTGGTTTTATTTCCTTTTTCTGTAGAGCTTTGATCCCTCCCTTGGGATTTATCCATGGTTTCATTCTCTTTCATTCCCTTTAGACTTTAGAAGCTAAGTGGTGACATCAGGAAGATGTCATGTGGGTGAGCTCACGCACCTTGCTTTGAAGCCGCACGTGTTCCCCGGGGCTGTCGGGCAAGGCAGCCAGCAGATACGCCGGCTATCTGCCCATGACTAATTCAAAGCGAAGCAGAGACACATTCGATGCATCCCTCTTGTGAAGCAACAATGGAAATGAATGCATAGGTTTATTCACCTTTAATATTTTCTATGAGAAGACATCAAGGTCTTCTTCAGCCATTGTAACGATCGGGTAAACTACATACATCCAGATTACATTGTGCTGCTGTCAAAGCATACAAAATATTTTAGGTATAAAGAGGTGTTTTTTTTTTTTTTTTTTTTTAATCTGAAAAGTGACGGGACAAATTAGAACAGGTAATAGGTATGTATTATAGGCAGCTAATAAGACAGCCTTTGAAAAACTCATCTTTAAAGTTTTACAAAGCATGCTGGATTTTAGAAAACTTACTGGAAACACAATAATGGAGCTGCCCAGGGGTCTCCAGTACTTAGGGAAAGTGAACGGACTACAAAGGTAATTCTTTACCATCTGTAACTCAGCATGTTACAACCCCATGCTATATGCGTATCTTTGTAACTCACATGGCTAGAACATTGTAGTAGAGTCTGTTTGATAAAGTCATTGCTTATGAATAAGATGTAAAGGAAGTGGAATGGGGAGAGAGAATATATTTTTAGTTTTTTGAAAGCAGTGCTACTGTTTTGGGAAACCATGAGCATTGCAGAGAATTTACCATTGCACCATAAATAGAAATATAATTGCTTTCATCTGCATTACATGGCTTTTTTATGTGCAGCTAAAAACAATTTGAAAAATGTAATGAAATTACACTGAACTTTTACTCGGAACACAGTTGTTGTTTTTTTCCAGCTAATTTAATGTTTTTTTTTCTTTTTTTTTTTTGAAAATTTCCTGATGAGAATAAGCATAAAAATAAACCCTATTAACTTCTAGCTAAAGATATACATTTAAAAGTTTGAAAAAAAATTGGCAGTGCAGAGTGATAGCCAGGAGTGAAATGTGTCCCACTGCAGAATGTTATTATATAATAACCTGATGCCCTTTATCGTGACAGGAGCCGGGTTTGATGTCTCGCTGGAAATTGACAGCAATAGAATTTTGACAGAAATTTATCTGTCCTCCTAGACTGAGGAATTCATAACAGACTTTTTGTCCAACTTATGTAATGTTTATATGGGATGTTCATTTACAAATATAAGAGTTTAATTGGTTGTTGCATTTATGGGGTAGATTTATGGAAGCATAATTCTACTAAATTAGGTACCACAATTTACGAATAGTAATATATTTTTCCACTCTAGAAAATACACTTTAAATCATTTTAACCCACTATAAACATTTTGATAGTAGTTTTTAGAGACCACTCATAAAGCATTTTTTAAAAAAGCAATAAGGTTGGGCAGTGTTTGAACACGGGGTAATAATTCATACCAATTATATTGCTAAACAGAAGGTCTCAGGCCCAATAATATATCACAATTCATACCTTATGGTCTGATAGCAATTAAAATACCATCATTAAGTATATTGTAAACATACATAATGGTTGAAATCTTGCTTACGTGGAATAACATTCCATGCTTTATTAAGCAGAATAGTACCTCAGTTCATTTTGTTGACAGTGTCGTAATCATTAGAGAACCATTCCAGGAGTACCTTTAATACATACACACAGAATTGGACTTTATCTCTTATTATTATGACTCTTAATATTGTTTCTATTGTCGTGGCTATTCATGCTTTCTAGTCCGCTGCCTGTCGCATCACATCAGAACAGGCACGACGACATGGTTCTAGTTACCACACACCTGCATGTGGGCTAGAACGCCCTCAAAGGGTTTGTTATCTGCCTCTGCAGGGTCAACAAACATTAGATGAGACAAAGGGATTCCTAGACTCAGCCCATATAAACTCTCCCAGATGCCCTTGATACCTCTAGCAGGTGACAGACGGGTCAGCCTACACCTACACGAGCCCAAAACTGTGACCAGGTTGACAGAACAGGGGATGGTGCCGTTTGGACCCACACGTGCTGGGGACAGCCCGCTCCGCGTAAGCTCTGCAGGTAAGTCTTCCCTCCCATTTTCACACAACACTGTATCCCCCAAGAGTCATTTAGTTTGAAGATTTTTAAAGATATATTTTGATATAATGAGCAGAACATTTCTGCATATCAAGTTAATGTGACATGGGCTTTGGAACCATAAAGGTGAGGGTTTATGATCTGATAGCCTACTTAAGGCTTTAATTCCAGGATGAGTATGTAGATGGTCATTCCCAGGGAGGTCTGCGTTAGGAATAACATGTGCAAAGCGCCCGCACGGTCATAGCCAGTGTTCAGTGCGCAATGGAAACAAATTCTCAAAAGGTACAATGCTGGAACAGTTTGCTTTTCACCCTGGTCCAAATAAATACACTGTGTGTGTTGGAGGCGGGTGGAGATCAGTTCAGACTCACGGTCCACGATCGTTAGGCGGCCACAACGTGCAAGGCCAGCCATGTAGGAAGCCATGTAGGTCAAGGAAAGCTGGCTTCTTCCATTGCTGGTGGCTGAGGAGCGGAAGTCAGGCGTCGGAGAGAGGGTGGAGAGTGGCAGTGTGTGGCGTGAAGCGGGAGGTGACCCAGAAGGCCCCCCTGTTAGACGGCATCAGTGATGTTGTCGTTGACCTTGTATTCACTGTGCCTTTCCATTTTCTCTATTTTCATGCTTTAACAGTCCTCCCCACCTCCTACATATAATAAACATCGCCAACCACTCCAGAGCCCACACTCCAGCACCCTCTTCATGGGTGGGTCCCTCTTCAGCCAGTAACCCTACCCCCATCCCATGGCCCAGGGCCAAGTACCAGACAACCAGGGACAGCCTCCCACCCGGAGCCCCTGAAATTATTCAAACTCGCCATTCTAGGCCTGCAAACCCTGCCTCTCCCCATCCTTCCCAGGCACATGGCAATCTAGGCTTGGGCCCCTGGGTTCCTTGGGTTCCCTGGGTTCCCTGGCCCGTCGCCCTCTGGCTGACCCAGGCCTTCTTCCCTGGCACCTTAATAAACTACCTTTTTAAGGGAAATCGTCTGTGGACCTGGCAGCCTCTTATTTCTAAACGACAAACATATTATTCTCAACGCTGACATTTGCCTGCATGGCCGTTATACCTGAATATTCATAAAACCTTTATTTTAAAATAGACCCTTAGTGCCCGAAGCCTGCAGGGGGCTGCGAGCGCAGAGGAAGGCAGGCCGCGGGGACAGGATGGCTTCACTGCCCCTGCTCTTCGACCAGGCACACAGCAACAACCCCAAATAAACGCCACCACCGAAGACTGTAGCTGCACCTTTTATTGGGACGGTGGTACGAACACGGCGTTCCAAGCAGCGAGAACGGCGGTCGGCGGGCGCCGCTGAAGGCATCCCGACCGCCGCAGAAGCACACGGATAAACGGGCGGTTCTGTTACGGGAGGGCTGAGGACTGCAGCAGGGGATCCAGCGGCACAGCTCCGAGGGGACGGCCACCCTGGGAGGCGGCGTCACCGCCCGGTTCGGCGGGTCCCCACGAGCTCCTTCGGACTGGGCAGACCTCCGGGGTGACTCTGTCACGCGGCCAGCTGCGACCCGGGAGCCCCCCGTGCTCCACGGAGCTTCCCGCGGCCAAGGGTGACGCGGGGACGGGAGATGTCCGGCAGGAGCTGGCTGTGCGCGTCCGCAGAGTCGCGGCCCCGGGGGGACGGGCCTCCCCAGGCGGCCCCGCGGAACCCCGGGACCCAGTCCGCGTGCGCGTAGGCTTGACACGGGCTAAAGCAGTGACACAGTCTCGAGGGGGTTAGGTCCTTCAGGCTTAAAAAAGGTGCGGGAGGAGAGAAAATTGTAGACGCGAGTTTTCACACTCGTGTTTGAAGGGAGCACCAACTGCAGAAAGTTAGAAAACGGTCAGAAACGGTCAGAAACAGGTCAGAAACGGTCAGAAACGGGTCAGAAACGGTCAGAAACGGGTCAGAAACGGGTCAGAAACGGTCAGAAACGGGTCAGATACGGTCAGAAACGGTCAGAAACGGGTCAGAAACGGGTCAGAAACGGTCCAGAAACGGTCAGAAACGGGTCAGAAACGGGTCAGAAACGGTCAGAAACGGGTCAGAAACGGGTCAGAAACGGGTCCATCACCACCAGGTTCGTAATGGCCAAAAACACAACGAAGACACCAGGCGTCCGTCGCGGAGGGTGTGCTGGGCCCGAGCGGCTGGGGGACCAGGAGCATCGGGGACCCCGACCCCAGAGTCGGAGCGCGACCCTCGACGGCTCCGCCTGGTCCCGCTGGCGCTGTCCCGCGCTCGTCCAGCGCCTGCTCCCCCATGGGGCTGCGGGCCGAGAAGCGGAGCGCGTGCCCCGCACGGGCGAGAAGAACACGCACTCGCGCACACGCACGCGCACACGCACACGCACACGCGCACACGCACACGCACAGGCACACGGACGCACACGCACACGCGCCGAGTCCCGCGGCCTCCGTCCGGGGTCCGGGCCACTCCGTGTAGACGCGTGCCGGGGGCGCCGGCCGGGATGCGGCGGGCACTCGAGCGCGCGGCCGCTCACAGCCCGGAGTCCCACAGCTCGGAGGGCAGCCGGCCGCAGGACGCGCCCTCGGGCTTCTTCACCAGCGGGGGCTTCTTGCAGGGAGGAGGCGGAGGCGCCCTGGGCTCCGGGGCATGCAGGAGGCGCTGCCAGTCTTCCCGCCCCTCGCACAGCTTCCGCCTCCAGTCCAGGAGCTCCTGCAGGGCCGCGCTTTCGTTCTCGGAGAGCCGCAGCTGCTGGATGACCTGCGGGGGGGAAGAGGGGAGACTTGGAGCGGCAGGTGCTGTGAGCGCGAGAGGGAGCGGGAGGGCCACCCCGGGGCTGCTCTCTGCTCTCACAGGCTTCCAAGCCTCCAGGCGCTGCTGCCTCGGGAAACCGCCCCCACCCCGGGGCTGGAAACGGCCAGGTGCAGGCGGCCAACAGAACAGAGCAGGGAGGACAGGAACACTGGCTGAGGAGAGAAACATCCAGGGGATTCCAGGAGCGGGCCCTTCGCCCTCTATTACGATACACCTTCTTAGGACATCCCATTCCTCCCCCTCATTTATCACAACTGAGAGGCTGTGTGTCATAGAGCTTTTTGGGTTTCTCGAGGTTCCCCCGATTCTAGGGCGCCCCCATCTAGGCAGTACTAGTCCACATCTGTTCAGGGAGCATGACTCTACTCCTGACTACGAGGCATCAGCCCAGAGATGGGGCTGCTCGAGAGAGCCCATCCACAGCTAGTGTTAACAGGGAACTGCGCCGACACAGACACGGTCTCCAGGAGCAAAGAGAGGCCAAGGACAGCCCACCCTGCAGCAGGGAACGAGTTATAGGGCCTCGAAAACACTTGCAACCTCACCGGGGCCTCAGCACACGCTCTAGGTTGCAGCGGCAAATCAGAGCCGTGATCTGAAGCAGCAGCCCTTGCTCGCTGTCCTTGGGCGCAGGCAGACCCAACCTGAGGGACCTTTGCAGGACAGCATCACGATGCGATTGCATGGGCTTCTTCCTGTCGCTTCCCTAGGACACCGTTTCTCTGGGCATCCTCAAGTGAGTGTGCAGACATCACAGCGGGGATGCCGGGGAGAATTCAGAAGAAACTAGACGTCCCAGCCCACTTCCAAAGGCCCTCCTGCTTTGTGGTCATGCCGCTCCCAGCCTCCCCAGCAAAACGGATGAGAGTGAATGAAAGCGGGCTAGAGCTAAAGTCCAGGGTCCCTTTGCCGTGCTCCTCTCCCTCCGTGGGATTGCGGGCAATCCGTGTGCCTCCTTCGCGATCGTGTTTTAGCGCCTCTACTGCCTCGTGTACACCTGGCGGTTGCTATCAGCTGCCATCTCGTTCCTCTATGGATACCGAGCTCTTGTGTATCCATACTCCTTTGCCCACGTTCAGCACATAGAGCAATCTGCGGAAAATACTCTCACGGGATTTATTCTTATGAGAGAGTATATAATTGATGGAAGAATATTTTTACCATCTGAACTGATTTCCCCCCCGACTTCCTTGAGGTATCGTTTTTGTTAAGTAACCTAACTTTACGCTGATCTAATTAGAAACAAAACAGGAAAACTTCCCACCTGTATAGGGTTTTTAAGGTCATGTCAGGTTACTGCTCCCATTGTAAAGATGAAAAAAAAAAGAGACAAATTACCAAAATCATATATTTAGAGCATCAGATAGCTCTGGCAAACTGAGAACCAGAGAAACTGAAATTCTGAATCTTTCTGAACAGATAATGACCAGCTGTTTTCTTTTCTTCCCCCTCTCCTGGGACATTTGCCAATTCTGAGCTCTTCTGTAGGTCTAGAGAGCCCTTTCTAGAAGACAGAGAAACTGTACAATATGTTGCAGCTGTAAGAGACGAGAGACACAGATTGGGAATTTGCAGACCCTCCGATGATGACCATTTCCCCCAAGAGATATTTGTTAAGTTCTGCAGCTATATGCGTGAGTGGTGCCTTAGGCCAAAAGCTTACAAAAAACCAGAGTGAAATCCCCTGGGGTGTTTGAGGTGCTTCAGAAGAGGGTGGGATGGGGGAGGATAGCTTCAAGCGCCGACTAGTCTCATCTTCGAGACGTGCAGATTTTTTTTTTAAGATTTTATTTATTTGACAGAGAGAGATCACAAGTGGACAGAGAGGCAAGCAGAGAGAGAGAGAGGAGGAGGAGGAAACAGGCTCCCTGCGGAGCAGAGAGCCCGATGTGGGACTCGATCCCAGGACCCTGAGATCATGACCTGAGCCGAAGGCAGAGGCTTAACCCACTGAGCCACCCAGGTGCCCGAGACGTGCAGAATTTTGCACAGCCTGGAGAGGGGAGCAGGACCTCTGAAATGCACAGCCCGAGCGCATCTGGGCTCTTCCAGAGCTAAGGAACCAAAAAACCCACAGGCCAAAGCTCAGGCGGTGCTGCCGGTGGGTGAGAGGCAGAGCACAGGCTGCTTCTGCACCGTGGCTCCATCCGGGATTGGACTGAGGCCTCCCGCCCTTGCGTCTGCCCCCTAATGTGATGGTGGCATCTCTCCCTAGTAGTGCCCAGCCTCGACAGCATCTCCAGTTTGTTGACCCATGACGCTTACGGCGAGATCAGAGATGACATGCGGAGAGAGAAGGAAATTCACTAAAAATCAGAGCGTGAAACAGATTCACAGATGATCCTGACTTAGGGTTCGTCGATAGAGACTTTAAAATACCTGTAATGATGACATGCTTAGGAGAGAGGAAATGGTGGACAAACCGAAGACGCGGAACAGACACACATAAAAGGAATTCCAGAGGGAAGAGATACGCAAAGAATGTGACAGGGCAGTCCTCAAAGAGATAAGTTTCCCAAACTTGCAAAGGGCATCAATCCACACACCCAAGAGGCTCAGCGAAACCACACAAAAGGCAAACACACACAGGCCCCCGCGGGCAGTGAGAAAGCACAAGGTAGATCCTCTTAAAGCAAAGACAAATGAAAAAGCTTTAAAATCTACAGGAAAGACACACATTCCCTTCAGAGGAACAACGAGAGGGAAAACTGACTTCTAAGCAGAAGACAGAAAATAATGAGTTAAAGTACTGGAAGAAACTAATTCAGGCTAAAACTCTACTCTCAATAAAAATAACCCTCAAAAGGTAAAATAGAGATACTTTTAGACAATAAAAAGGGGAAAATTTGCCATCAGAAGTCTCTCATTTTTTTTAAGGTGAAGGAAAATGATCCCAGGTGGAAAAAATTGAAACTTAAGAGAAAATCAAGTTTTTTAATTTCTTAATTCTTAATTAAGTTTCTTAATTCATGGACACCAGAATTAAATCCAAGGGTAAATAGAAGTTAGCTCTTGGGATATCTTATGGACCATAAATTATCTGTAGAACCGGAATGCACACCAGTGACGACCTGCGAAAGCCAGGAGGGGTTGCGGGGCGTTTAGAGGTGGTAGGCTTCTAGCAGCACTAGGAAAATGGTCAAAGTAACAAAAGTCCCTTAAGAGGCAGTAAGTAGAAAATGCATACTTTCTTCTCTAGTCAAACTATAGAACACGCAGGGAGAGAACATGTAATTACACGTGAAATTACATACAGAAAATGTGAAATAATAAATACTCCATTAATCTAAAAGAGAACAAGGAGGATACAGAAGTCATATGAAAATGGAGGCAGGTCTAACAAGACAGAGTAAAGCATAAAAACTGGACCAGCAGAATGCACATCTCCGTCCAGCAGCTGGCCTTGCTTTTCCATGGCCAGATGCACGGACTGTGTTTCTGTTCATGCCGGGGCACCGGAGAGCCACACGGCTCTGTCCCCATGCCACGCAGAGAGCACATCCATTCTGGGTCTCTTCTCAATCCCAGACTCTTTTCCGCAGCCCTTCATAATGACCAAAACCGTGCATGAGGTGGGACCCTCCGCCAAGCCCTTCCTAACACTTCCAGATCGAGCCACTCTGCGGCTGCTGATCTGACGGCGGCTGGAGGGGAGGCTTTTGATGGAAAACGTCCCAAATCCCCTGAGTTACTGCTTCAATGTTTGGGGGAAAAAAAAAAAATGCTCTCTACTCTTTCAAAGCTTCTCAGTGTTTACTAAAAATATCTGAATTCCCAAGTACACTGTAAAAGGTGAGACTTATATACCCAATCCACTAGAAAGCATTTTCTTAATGAGGCTATTGATGTCTTGAATAATGTAGTAAGTACAGAAGAACCCCATCTTCCAACCAACAACCAGGCGCTTTCCATGCTTCCTTGATAAGCAGAAACGTGACTGATGTTTGCAATAATCAACGAATGCTCAGAATAAAACCTTCATTGAGAGGTTCCCACGGAACTTCATTGTCTATTACGGAGATTAATAGGTGTTGAGTAAAATCTAATAGGTACCTAAGGGTAGTTGCCAGAATGGTCTAAATGAGATGGTAACATACTAACATTATTGATTTTCCTTTAAAGAAAGAAAAACAAAGAATTTTCACAGGTTATTCCTTAAATGAGAGTTAAAATTCTGTGTAAGGATACATCATAGGTCACTACTTGCAACATAAAGTTCAGAGGGGATTTTAAAATTATGATCCGTAAGACGGTGATTAGAAGATCAGAAGACAAGAACGGTGTGCCCCGAACGATGTTTAATCTGCTCTATTTAGATTTATTGAATTTATTAGATCATGAGGCACAAAAATCACATCTGTCAAAAGCTGTAAAAGGGCTTTAATATTTTAGAATTGCAAACACTGGCAACCATGGATATTATTTAAAGGATGGTCAAGTAATATACAAGCACTACAAAGTGTTCACAATGTTACCCAGCACTCTGCAAGCATCACAATCAGTGTTTCTGCATTCTGTAAGTTTCGTGTCCTGTCGTAATAACAGAAACCCGCACAGCTTCCTCTACCACTATTTCATGCTTCATGATAAATTACGTATGATCATTAAGAAGGCAAGAATGACTTTGAAACAAAAATTTTGGTTTGGGAAGTAGACTCGTGACTACTGACAACACACCTCTGGTCACCAGAGGGGAGGTGGGTGGGGGATGGGGGAAATAGGGGACGGGGATTTAACAGGATGAAAAAAAATTTTTTTTAATTAAGTTTTGGTATTGAAAGGGAGCCATTTCTTTTCAGAAAGAGAGGAAGTGATGCTGGGGATCAAGGGTACAGCTGGGTATGAGCGCCTTCGTACCCCTCATCCCCCCCCATTTACCCTTATTTCTTCATTGGCTACAGGTGTCCCACTGGGATCTTGTAACTTGTAAGCTTGCTTACCTTGCT